AAGCATCTGCCTTCGCCATCCCACCTCGGAGCTGGTAGCGAGTAGTTTTTGGGTGTTGGAGCCTACTATGGCTTTTTATTTCCCTTTGTGCTTTTGGCTTTAAATATTGTTCTTTAATCCCACGAGCTTCTCCAGACACACCAGCTGCCAAGCAGGTGCCACCACTGCATTTCTCGAGTTGACCTGCGTGACGCTGTTCAACGATGTGCACAATAAACTAAAAGAGCCTGATAGATAGGAATGAGTCTTGAAGGCTGCAAAAAAACCATGTAGCCAACCTCTGTGCTTACAGCTGTGTTTGCATGCAGCGTGGACACACCACGAGGGAGCGTGTTCAGGGAGTAAGATCACAGCAACAGCCTTCCTTCACAGATGGGAAGGCAACAGCCTTCCTGCAGTGCACAAAGGGACACTCACTGTTCACAGCAGAGCAAAAGGGTTAACTGGTCTATAATAAAAAGAAAAGTTGAAAACTATTCAAGCAAAAGGAATATTGCCTGATGTGTGGGCTGCAAAAACGTTTAAAAAGTCTCTTAGTGGGAGAGGACACTTAATCTTCCCCTTTGCCTTCACTGCCGCCTTAGAAATATTTGTGAGAGCAGGGGAAGAGTCCAGTTATTTTTTCAAGGCCCAACCAACCCATGCTGCGTGGGATCACATTTATTAGCTTCAGGGAACTCCAAATGAAGCATTCGACACACAAGCAAAACAACCCAGCCCGTGCCATGTGCTGCCCCTTGCGGGGCTGCATCACTCAGCACTTCTGCTCAGATGCACTGAACAGAGCTCTGTTCCTGCAGCAAGTAAATGAGTGAAAAATCCAGCCAGCAGCACAAGCAAAACCTGAACCCCTCCCAGAACTGGCCAGCCTCAATCCTTGCATATTTTCAGTAAATCACTGGAGGATACCAAACTGCACAAGTCAGACTTGTGGAAAGGAAGAGCAGAAATCACTGGAAAGAATTCTTGACCGCTTTCTGTAACAGTAGCTACTGAAGCCAATTTCGTGATTGGAATGATAGGCAGGAACAAAGGAAAAAAATAAAACCCAATAAAGTAGTTCAAAGTTGAAGGAACACAAAACTAAAGCAAAAGGATGTTCACAAGCTAATGAAGCTTCCGGTGTAATGCACTGGCAGCAACATGGAGAAGGACTGGGGAAAAGAACCGCAGCGTCACACACAGGTTCCTGCCGATCAGGAAAAAAAAAAAAAAAAGGAATGGTAAAAGAGGCGCTGCCTAAAGTGGGATTTCAGCTACAGTGACGGGAATGCTCACGAGCTCCAGGAAACCAGACGACTCTTCTAGCTCACGTGCCAAAGCCTCTGCACGATTCCCAGTAAAAAGCAGCACAAAGAGATGCAGGAAGGTTCTGCAACCAGAGAGTTTTAACAGAGATCGCACATGCAGAAAGAGGGAGGAAGGAAACCCCAGCAGCTCTCTCCACTCGCTCGGCATCTGCGCCTCAGTGAATTGAGGAATTCGAGAAATAAATCTTTGATGCTGCCATTTTTTTGCTGAAATTACAACCTTTAAACTAAGCATCCAGATTTAAAGGTCTCTTTTTAGGATAAAAATACATTTACTATGTGACACAAGGGGAAATGCTGTAGTAAGTTTGGCAGCTGGGGATAAAGCATCAGCCGAAAAAACATAATTGATTCTTGAAGCAATACAATTTTGACACAGACAGTTTAGAAACCAGCCTCCTGGCTCAGGATGTCTACTTATATTTGTTATTGCCATAATCAGCAATACTCAGACACGAATTATTTTTAGTTATTTCTCTCAAGGGTGTATTTTTAAACAGACCTTGCTAGGTAAATGGAAATAATGAAAATAAATGTTCCCCAGAATAGCACAAATCCATTCAGTACAGACATAAGCTACAACAGCTTGCGCTCAAGCATGGCCATTAATATGAATAAAAGCATTTTGTAATATACAGCATATAAGATTTGCATCCAGCAGATTGAAAAATTCCCTATACTGGCCTAGCATATTCCCAGACAGCTGTCTCATCCCACAGAGTAAGGACTAGAAATGTTTCCATGATTTGTATGAATTTCGATTCATACCAAACACAAAAACCTTTAGTAAGGCACCCCCTGTCCCCAGGTACTCACATAATTTCTACAAATTCTTTGATCATATACAGATACACACATCTATATAAGACCAAAGACAACTATCTCCCAATTATTCTTCACCATCATGGCGAGGCATAGACTAATTTTTCCATACTCTTGCGAAGTTCATTACCAATCAAGAAAGCAGCATATTTCCATGAAGTGCTTGGGCTCAGAGGTAAGTACATTTGAAAGAGAAATTCACAGTATCACAGAATGGTTGAGGCTGGAAGGGACCTCCAGGGATCCTCCAGTCCAATCCCCCTGCTCCAGCAGGGACACCTAATGCATCGACAAGATAACGCTATCTAAAAAGGGTCAAGTCAAATAATTGTTTACTCTAAATGGTTAATGCTTTCTTAAGATAAAACTGCAGCAACAGAACTAGCAAGATATATGTATTCCACTGCCACCCCACTTCTGAGGAATTTATTTCACCATTTAATATTACTTCAGGCACTAGAGGGAGCTCGGATTCCTCTGCAAATGCAAGAAAAACAACAAAAACAATTAGAAAACTTTAAAATTGGACTTTAAATCGTCCAAATCAAGTAATTTTAAGTTACAAGAAGCTATTCAAATGCATAGTTAAAGATTTATTGTGTCCGGTCAACACTGGATGCTTGTTCCTAGACGTTTGCCTCCCACCTTCGTGCACGTGGAACTTGTTCGTTTTGCTGTCTATGTCACGTATATGAGCCGGTCTGTAGGAAAGCTAAAAGAATGAGATGCCAAAGGGATTGTGTTGGGGCGGTATTTCATATTCTTGCTTCTTAGCGACAAAATATGCTCTGCTTTGCTAGCCAGAAAGAACACCAGGAACGCAAGCCTTTCCTCTTTGTGCTTTATCACTATTACCGTTTTGCTACACTTCCCAACACACTCAAGTCTCTAAGGCGTTAACAGCACCCGACTGTCCTTACCCCTTAATGCAGCATCTCTTGAAAAGCAGCTGTGAGACAGGAGCTGAGGGGGAGGTTGAGAGCCTAAGCTTCGCATCGACAGCTAACACGCTCCGACAAGCCCAGAGCTCCGAGGAAGCAGCTCTCCCTGCTCACAGGGACCAGCGTCCACCAGGACTGGACATACCTCAAATCAATACTGAGCCGGCCCTCCATAATCTGTGAAACGAAGCCTTACAGCAGCGAGATTTTAGTCCAAATCATGGAAAACAACAGATGATTCAGGTGTAGGTGTCAGTTAAGCTCAACATTAATCTTTTTGCTGCTAGCCCCTTTCCCATTAAAGGGGAAAACACAATGTTCACAGGCTTGGTGGCAGCCCAGCATTACAGGGATAGTCTGCAGTGATAAATTGCACAAATTAGCATTTCTCCCCATTGACCACTTAAAGAAAATGAAATGTAATCAGAACCATGGCAGCTCTACACATCTATATCATCTGTATTATCCTGACATCAGAGATGCAGATAGTACATCTGCATGCTCCGAACTAACCAAACAGTTACCAAAAGGTCCTTTAAATTATTTTCCTCAGTGCCTGTTTAGTTTGCACAGAAATTACTACTTTGAGCAGCAAATAAAATTGTATGACTGAATCCATCACAGCACTCTATCAAAAGCCAAATTATGTTTTGTCATTCCTTCCGCAGTTATTGAAATTCTTTACCGATATAATGCAAAATCCTCTTCTGTGAAGATGTCTCGAATTTTGTCCCCAAAGTACCTGAAAAATTAAACACAAGTCTAAAAGAGGAATCAACCAGCTCGGGCAATAGCAAGCTGCATTCCCACACCAACCTGCTTTACCCACAATTAATAACTTAAAACATAATAAAAATCATTATTTGTAGGAAGTGTGATATTCCCAAAGCACTGTTCAAGGATTAAATATTAAGAAAGTAAAGGATCAAAGTGCAGCAAGTGATAACAGATTTTGCCAGAAATGAAAATCTCCCCTGCCACTTCATGAAACAAGTTTACAGATTCAACTTTTTAAAGTTCACAGAGTGCTTGAACTTATCTCTTGATCTCTTATTTTGCTGATAAAACTATAGGTAATAACTATGATAAAAATATATTATTTTCTGGTGCATGATGAACTCAAAAGAAAAAGTTGTAAGTAGCTCTCAGAGCTCAGTTAAAAAAAAAAAAGAAAAAAAATATTACATTGGTTTTTAGAAGTTTTTTACAGGTCATGGAAACAGAGGCAAACCTAACTCCTACAGGGTGACACTGCTAACCTCATTCTTCACAGCTTTGAGAAATCAAAGGAGCCACAGCTCTGTTTTACCTGTACAGATTGACAAAATGCTTCCCCAGTGAAAGTGCTCCGGAGTGTAAATCCAAAATAGAAGCCTGGGAAAAAGAGACAAATGTTAAACAAATAAACAAACAAATAAATAAGAGAGAAGAAGGGAATGAAAAGCTTTGTCATTATTTAATTACGACCTTAAATAACTATCCTAAGTCACTTGCAACTTTTTTTTTATCCTAAGTTATGACTTTTTAAAAGGGTTCCCAAAACTAATGCTTATTTTGTCTTACTGCCGCAAGCCTCCCTCAGACTGTTTACATATTTATGTATACCTATTTAGAGACACACACACACACAAATATATATATATATATATACGGACAAAATATTAAAATACTGCAGATAAGAATTTCAGGAACAGCAGTCCTGTGTCTTATCTGACAGAACTGCCAGTCTTCCTCCATTGGCTAAGGATACTGTGTTCCTGGATTCCTTCTCCAAGGTATTCCCTCTCCACACAGAGATGGTTAGTTTCCCAAAATTTGCCAAGTGCCTGAATAGCAGCACTAATACTTATTTTACCCATCACTTCTTACCAAAAACTACTCCCTCCCAGTTCCTGTGCACTTCTCGTATTAAATAATACAGACATGAAAGCCTGTTTAAAAGAACAACTACAACTCTAAGTCTTGCTAGAGTTGGATGATGCATTTAAAAATATAAAATAAATCTGATTGCTGTAAAAGATGAGTCATGTCTTTTTGTATACAAATCTATTTCTCCTTCTGATTCCAGTCAAACACTTCTGTTTACCTCAAGCCTAAACTAAAAAGATCAAGATGCAGATTTGCTAGGGCTGAGACACACATCCCAGGACGCTCAAGTATTTCTGAATTGCATACAGTCTGCCTTTGAATGCTGTCCACAAAACACAAGTTCACTTTGCATGAGTTCAATTTTACCTAAAAATCTGTTTGCTCAATGGAGGTCTTGTTTTCTATACTGAAAGCATCAAGCTGCACCAGTCTCAGTGTCACCAAGGCGAGACGGATCCCTCTGGTGTGCAGTATCCTCCAAAAGCCCCCTCATCCCGCGGGCTGGCACTTCTCGGTGCCGCAAGCTGCCTCCGAAGGATGCCAAGACGCTCCTGACCTCCACCAGCAGTGTGTGGACACGGCTGGGACTGTGCTCTTTTTCACCCAAAAGCGGGTGGGCTCGGGAACACACTGAAAGGTCAGGGCTAGAATGGGCCAGCAATCCGCCTTCCCACTCAGCCCAAGCTCCAAGCATCATTCCCCGTCCTCCTCCTCCGGATCACTGGCCTAGGAAAGACATTCCTGACCTCCTGGCAAAAGGGAACTGCTGCAGGCTCAACTGTCTGGAGCTTCAGTACTGCAGCAAGGGAACCTCACTGAAGTTCCATTTAGAAGTGAGACATAACAACAATCTTCCTTTAATAAACTTTATACAAATAATTTTATTTACCCCTGAAGCTTTTAAAATGGATAAAGGAATGAGTTGCTTCAATGGGCACAGCATGAGCTTTTCAAACCTCTCTTCCTCAAAGTTCTCCAAAAGCCACAAAGAGCTGCAGGGAAAAGTCATCTCATACTCATCCCAGAGCAGCTCTCAGGTCAAGCTTTGCTCAAGCATCAGTGATAAATAAATAAATAAATAAAACCGCCTCTCAAGAGCTTGCAGAATGCTTCCTAAACACACGCAGGTGCTTCCTCCAGCTGCAGATGCTCATAGATCTGTGAGCATCAAACTATTCCAGCACCGTTTCCTGCCCTTGGAAGGACGTCTTGGTGGTGTCACCAGCATTACTGCAGCTCCACCACCCTGCAGCCCGGTAAGTGGTCCCCGGGGGAACGCTTGCGAAGTTTATGTAAAGATGGCAGGAACAAGGCAAATGCATATACCCAACGCATCTTCTTCTGAGAAACTCCAGGAAAACTACCCTAATACCCTGGCTTACAGAACTTCTGCAAATAGGAAACTGGACTCCCTTCAAAAGTACAAACGTAGGTGCTTTTGGACCATGACTCTTGTTCCTTTCCACTCTCAGTGGAAGGATTCAAAAAACGACATGCAAGGAACCAGCAGTTTCCAGCGTACGGCAAAAAGCATCACCCTCCCCAGCTTGCAAAGTGCCACAGGTCCTCGCAATCCCTTCTGCTGAGGGTCAAACTATTACTTATATATTCACTGCAATTCTACCTTGTTTCTCCGTGTAGTGCTAGGGCCTGAAGCACAGGCCCAGTCGGAGTGACTTGCAGCTGAATGTGGCTCTGCTTTTGTAGAAGAGTTCGCCTGTAGAGCTGCGTGTGCCGACTCGCACGCCAGCCCGCCAGGCTGCTGCCACCCTGCACGCGGGCTCATACAACTGGAGCTTTTGGAGGCTCTCACACAAGTGTTTTTGGCCTTGAAGGAAGCTTTCCCATCCGAAGCCAGGGCTCTGCCCAGCTCCCACTCCCAGAGGATAAGGAAAGCAGGACGTACCAGATGTCACCGCTCACAAAGGAAAATGCAAGTTTTGCAGATTTGGTTTTATAAAAGCTGGAGCCTCTTACCATGACTTTGGAGACCTCCCTTAGGGGCGGACGCAGCGCGTGGGACCCGCCAGGCGCCGGGAGGCCTCTCCAAATCCCCCTGCAGCAGGGGCTCTCCAGCGACTGCGGATCTGGATGCTGGCAACACACTGAGCCCATTGGTGATGTAGCTTTTTTCTTAATCACTATCCCCTTGCTCACATAATCATGGTAAAGTGCATTACCTTGCTTGTTTTGTCTGTTGTTAAAACCCAGTGCATAGCCAGCTTGTTGTTTTTGTTAGAGGTGTCATTTTATTTCTGTGCTATTTGATATTAATAGTAAACACGATTGTTCTTTCTCTTGGTGTCTGGTTCTTTTCTCTGCCCCTCATCGATTGGCAAAACACTCCATTCCCTGAAAAGTTTACTTAAGATATAGAAAGAACGCAGCCAACACAAGCCGCCTGGCAGAGAAGATGCAAAACTCATTTCTGCTCTTATTTAGAGAGGCTGGTAGAGCTCAAGACCTTCCCCACTCTCCAGTGCCCACGCTGGGAAAAGAGAAGAGCAACAGGGCTCTGCATTCCCACCTCTTCCCGGGCAGCATCAGACTCAGCGGGCACATTCAGGTTCTCAAAGCAACAGCAACTTGAAAGAGTTTCTCTACTTGAATCCTGAGAGTAGAAGGACACAGTTGATGCCTTTTAAAATTAAACCAATTAGTTCCAAGACATAAATGTAACTAATCTATACATCCTTCAGATTCCAGGAGATGCAGGCAATTACTGTGCAAACTGAATGCAATATTTGCCTCTGGTGCCTGGTACAAGTTTATGCTGAGCACAGATCAGACACAACCCGTTCCTCCCATAAAGGCAGTCACACCAACAGGCACTGCTACAAGAACAAAGCAAAGGGAGAGACACACTGCGAAGTGGCAGCTCCTTGCAAAAGATACTGAGCATGAAGGATGTAACCCGTGTGTCGTGTAGTAGAGGTAGGTGACAGGAAACGTGTTATGCAGAGGCTTTATCCCCTCCCAGGACAATGCAGAATGGGGAGCACTTTGAGGACTTCAAGGTCTGAAGGCAAAGCAAGGAGTGACACCACCTGCAGAAATGCAGCTCCACATGGGAGCCTGTGTGAACATCTGAGGAAGCCTTGTTTGGGATAATAACTACATGTGCTGTTTGCTTCTTTCACTGACCAAGAAATTTAATTTTCCCTGCAAAAGGGAGGTTCAGGTCCTACTCCTACCAATTTTGATGCAACACAGGAACCAAAGGAGAGCTGGTTGGCTGCACTAGCAGGTTTCTCTGCTGGTGCTTCTAAAAACATTCCAGTAGATTCGATAACAAGTCAAGTTTCATTTACACTGGAGAGAAGTTATGACGACCGCATCCATCAAGATGAGAATGAATGAGTGATGACTGAAAGGGAAACCCAAACAGGGGGAGCCTGCAAGAAAATATAAGGTAGGGACGAAAGGGGAAAGTCATTATCTTTATAAGGAAAGAAAAAAAAAAAGGCAACCAGTGTCAAAGGAACTAATGCAAATGACATTCTGTGAATGAGAGAAAGAACAGAGTGCAAAACTGTTTTACAGCTGCAGTCTGCAGAGGCCTACAAGAGAAAAACGTGCATTAGTGCGTGCAAGCAAGTGCCCTTGCTTGGATTCTGCTGGAAGGTTGACTAGAAGACTGTAATGGCCTCACCTAGCCTTCACACACACATATACAGGCACACACACAATGTATATATTGGATATCTATATCCTATACGATTCTATTTGATCCATATATACACACACATGTATATATGAATCTAGGAACAATTAGAAGGGAGGACAAGGAAGAAAGACTGCAGCATGTCTCCTGGGACCTTTCAGTAGTTGGGATATCTGCTAAGACTTTCTCAACACAAGTGGATGGAGAGGGAAAATGTTCTCTGTTACACTTCAGTTCCCTGAGGAAACCAGGAGGGTGGCAGGCAAAGGAGAACTGATCACAGATTCAGCTCTTCAAATTATACCAAGCCACACACACAGACACACGTGAACTTCTGTGGCATGGAAATACAAGTGATATGACTAAGAGAAATCAGACACGTGGCTGGGAGGAAAGGAGAGAGATGCAAACACCATCAGTACCACAGAAGGAATTGCAGGAAGTGTCATTAGGAATGGTTAAGGGGTCAAGTTGTCTACAAAAAGAAATTTTAGAACACGAACAAGGAATTGCTAAAGAAAATTGTCAGAAAAAAAGCAACAGACCACATCCAATCCCATACACTGGAAGCTTGGAGGCATATATGCAATGCAGCTAGACAAAGAAAGACTTGAAACATCTTGTGTGCTAGCCAGATGAGAGCTAAGGAGAAGATAAAGACTCTAAGACAGACAGGCCACTTCATCTATATACCATCAACACACACATTTGACAATATCTGGGAGCGCAGATAGCAATATCAGGAGCTGATTCCCTCTGTGACATGAAGAATATACCTACATGCACAGAGAAAGAGGCAGAACAGGGAAAAGAAAGCATAAAAGAAAGCAAGTAAAGAGACTATGTCCAAAAGCTTCCCCGAAACACGACCCCCAGGAAACACTGGGCAGCATTTTTTGGAGCTTATCCACTGTTTTGGATAAAAGCCTCAATGCAGCCCCACACAGCTGCTATCTCACATCTTTCCCCACAGAGTAACAGCGCTCAGCAACATTCTCACATTTGCACATTATGAGAAGCATAAGATTTGGATGAGAGCACAGACCTCCCTGAGGATATCAGATTTCTTACACAACTTTATCTTATTGCAATGACAGAATCTTCTTTCCCCCAGCTTCTCTCTCTCCTTTCAAAGCCCACAGAAAGGCCCCCAGGACGATGCAGAGGGCAGATCCGGAGCTGTCAGAGCCCGGCCTGCAGTGCCGGCAGCCCCGGCTGGGAGCGCAGCCCCGCTCCGGCGCTGGCAGCGTTCACCGCCCGCATCCCTCCCCGCGGCTGCCCGGCCGCCGCGGCCCCAGCCGCCCGCCGGCCCCTAAAACCACCCCTGCCCTGTGCTGAACACTGTCCTCCCAATGCCTCTGTGGGGAAGCCCAATGAAAATCACATCTAGGCCCTGAGAGGGAGACAGGAAACCATCTTGGCAGCCTCTTGACAGGAGCTCAGCAGCAGATCTAAAAAGGCTGCGTAATCTAGTCAAAATGGCATGATTTTCAGCCACAAAGTTGAAAAATCCAAGGGATCCTGTCCGAGTCAACAGAGAACGTTAAATCTGTCAAAGATACTGTTTGAGACTGGCAACACTGCTTAAGTTTCTCAGTTTACATTTTTCACAAACTCTTCCTGGCCACCTTGACACCATCTTATTTTTTCAGCAAAACCTCTTTCTCTTCTTCTTCTAATATATGCTCTAGCTTAGCAGATTACTGAAGCAGTACTTATGTTTACAAATATTCCAGAAACAGTTTCTGTTCACCCACAATAAAAACCCGAGAGCAAAGACAGGGGAAAGATGTTGAAGGAAACACTCTTGCTAAAGGAGAAATGGCTTTGTTTTCATCTTGTAGGCTTTTTCATTTTAAAGGTTTCCATTTGAAACTCTACACGAGCTATTACACAATACTTCTTGTCACTGCACAAAACCAATTTCTAAGTGGCAGTTGTGCTCCGCTGGGATTTAGCTTCTCAAAATCCAGCAGTGAAACCCGTGCAGTTCTGCTGCAGGAACCGATTCCAAATGCACAAGAGAAACCCATGCCCCATAACAGAGAGTTCCACAGAGGCACTGGAAACATGAACGCAGCCGAGTAACACGGAGCGTGTAGGCTGTACGGACGTCCTTAATTCCACCACTAGCAGAGGTACCCGGGGAGGGAAGGAAACCTTTCAGGTGAAATTTTCCCAAATCTGAACGTAAGGAAAAATTATCCCTTTCAGCTCCTCTCCCCACTAGCCCCCAAATGCATTTATAATCTCAAAGTTTGCCTTAGAGTAAAAGGATGGTAAAAGTAACAGGGTACTGCTTACCCCTCCATCAGATCCTCCCAAGGAGAGGCCCCTCTCCGCTATCCTGTAGGCAAAACAGTAATCTCAGGTGAGAAGGGATTTGTTTTTAATGCCATTACTTACAACACACGGCTGTTCAGTTAATGCTAGTTGACACATCACATATAACCTAACTCCATCATCTACCAATGCCTCCCACTGCTTGACTAAACCCACACTTTGTATTCAAAAAGGATGCCACACAGTCAGCAGCAGCTCATGACTATCCAGAAAGAGCTAAAAGAAGGGTTTTAGTTTGTTGTTGTTTTTCAAGTCCAGGTGGAACAGAAGGCCAAGTGAAAAATCCTTTAAAATCCGTTTAATCCAGAGAATACCATCTTCCTTTCGGATGTGAATTACCCTCTACAGCCCTCATTGAACTAGACAGATTCTATACGAAAGAGAACAGCCCTCACTAAAGCAAAAATGCAAAATGCTTTAGAAAAAAAAGCCTGTTTATGCTTTAGCCTGTTCAATATCTCTCCTTAATATTTCAGCTGATAAGCTTTGTGCCACAGGTACACCTTAAGCACGGGCATGCCATCAGCACAAGCAGCTTCCTCTACAACAGAAACTACAACCCTTCTACACAGAAAGGGAGAAGCAAAGAGCTTTACCTCCGGATTCTCTCAGCTTCCTCCCTCGTGATCACTGCATCAGTGACGCCTCTTCCACACCTCCTAGGAGTGCACCCTGCAGTACGAGAAACAACGAAACAAGATCATCTATGTTAGGAGGTTCAGAACAAGGCTCAATAAATACCCTCCTGCTCCCTTCCAGATTCACAACATTCAGAAGGAATATTGCCAACCTCAAAATATTTTAGATCATTCAAATTAAAAGAAAATCTCAGTTTCAGTGGTTTTTGCACCTCACTTGTTAGAGAGACCAGCCAGGCAACGGATACACTGGAGAAGTACAAAGGAAACACCAGATTTATGGGGCTCCATCATGCATGTCCCATTCAGCAAAATGCAGAGCAATGCTGGGCCCATAAAAATAAACTGGTTTTTTTTGTTGTTGTTGTCCTGAAAATAATTCCTGGGGTCATTTAATTTTCCTAAAAAGAGTCTGCTACAAATTTGTTGCTCAGTTATTTATTGCAATAAACCAAATATAGGATTTAAATTGACTCACTGATGTCAGTTTGCAAATCAACTGCTTAGAACTGTTTAGTAGGACTATAGTAGACACGTGTACATCCTTCTAGCTATACAGAGATATACAGGCACACATATATCCAGGGATTTTCCCCCCTTGCCAAGTGCAGCAGTAAAAACAAAAAAAAATCCTGATTTTAACAATATAATTATACAGAATACAAGCATATCAATGTATGCTCTGGGAAGATGATGATCTTGGATGATTTGATATGACAAACTCTTTATTCTTTTCTTTTAGCCTTCAGACAAGAACACGGGCAGTGCCACATGAATCTTTCCCATGTGGGTTGATGGTTCAAGTACAAATGAGATCTCCAGCAACTGAAACCACTTAATATCTCTCTACAAAAGGTTTAGCACCTGGAGAGCACCTTGTTTTGCACCTGATCACAGTAGAAGTTACACAAAAATCTGGAAAAGGAGCGAGATATTACAAATAATGAGGGTTTCTCCATAGATACACGGTCTTTGTAGAGTACCAATATGCCTTAGCTTACTCTGCTATTTCACATATTAACACACAAGGAAATTAATTCAATTTATGTTTCTGTTTCAACCATAAATCGTTCAGTTTGTTAACAAAGGCTAACATTAACATCACTGCAAAAGCAACGTTAATCTAAGAAAACAGCAACTCAGAATCCCAGGCTGATGCCCCAACCACACTGTTGGGGTGAGAAAAGCAGAATAAAAACAGACAAACATGCAGAGGAGTCAGAAGAGGGCTAGGAGCACTCGGCATGTGGTGTCGACACAGACATCTTGAGCGGCAGCTTTTTAAACAGCATTTTTAATATCAAAAGCTTATGGGGGAAAAAAAAGCCAGCAGTAAGAATTGCAGACAAAGAGCACACGCAAGTTCTTACGGAATTGCAAGTCCAGTTCAGAGCAGTCTTTAGACAACAACAAAGATGGGTTTTAAGCCCCCAGTGACCCAGGGCTGTAGCAGTGGGCTCTGTGCTGGGGAAAACCCGTGTCTAGGTGCAAAGCGACAGAAACGCTCGGGTGAACGTGTTTCTGGCAGCTGCCCCTGCGCCGGCTGCTGCGGCCCCACGCCACTCTCCGAGCATCGGAACCCAATCTGACGGGAAAAGCACTCCTGCAGAAATGAATCCAAAATCAAAAGCAAGCCAAAAACATCAACCTGCTCTGCTCAAAAGCAACTAATTAAAACGAGGAGCATGGAAAGAAAAAGCCGTCACCGTGCGAGTGCTTTGTACGAATTCACACTGTCTCCCTGAATGCGCTCAGGGTACGTCTCTGGGCACGACCCAAATCCCTCCAGTATTTCAAGAAAGATAGAAGCAACGAGAAAGAGATACCTGGACGAGTGGGTTTAGTACTGACAACTGACTTGTATGCAGCAGTTCCCTGCTTAGGAAAAGGAGGCTACTTGGTGGCATCAGTCTAAACACATCTGCACCGCATCAGGCCATGTAGACTCACATAAGCACCCAGAGCTCTTCCCTGCCTTCCCCAAATACTCCTCCCCAAATAGCTCTTCACCAGCCAAGTCATTTTTCAGATTTCGGTTATTCCAACCCCCAACTCAATCCTCCTCACGGGTCAGCCCCCATTCCAACGCACAGTCAGGGAATAACTGGGCCTGCCAGTTCTGAGAAAAGATTTGGTTGATTTTTCTAAGCCACTGGACTAAGAAGACCAGGATCAGGAAAGACCACTGGATTACAAGCCAGAAAATTCAACACATTTTGGGACTATCCGTCAACAACCCACTAAGGCCAGCTGGAGGTGAAGCTCCGGGGAGCGCACGCTCAATTAGCTGAGGATGCAGCCTAAAATAAAGGTGGATGTCACGTCCCTGGGCAGCGCAGAACCCGGCACGGCACCGGGAAGGAGGCAGAACCACGGCCCCACAGCTCCGCTGGCTGCTCATGACCCTAGGAATTTAAGGGGGAAGCACAGAAGTGAAACACACTCTTCCTCAGAACCTGTAATGTCTTGGGAAAACACAAACAAGCCAAGGAAAAAAACCCACAAAACTAAAAACACAGGGGCTTTGTTTTAAGTTTCAGATTCAGAATGGGGAGAGGGAAGAGAGAAGGAACTTCTGCACCATATTCCAGGCACACTGCGATTTTTTTTTCCTCGATTTGGGAAATTCGGACACAGTTTTTGTGGACATCCTGGCACTTTTAAAAGCATTTTATGCCAGGAAACAGCAATCTGAAAGTGCAACACTGCAGAGCATGCAACAAAAACGTGAGCAGTGGAAATGCCGTGCTCACCTGGAGCCCAACCACCCACCCTTCTGAGCAGCAAGCAGCAGCCAACAAACTACCCGCTCCTCGTATTAAAAAGCCCCCGTTTTACCCTGCTGTGCCTTGCAGGGCTCCAATATACGTGCAGCAGTGGCAGGTTAAAATCGGATACTCGATTCTGAACGTGAAACCAAAGAGCATCTCCGAAGCTGACTGACATGGACGAGACGCCCCTGCCTGCAGGCTGGCAAACGGGGACAGGTTGCTGAGGCAGGAACAGCCATCAAAGCTGCACGTAGAGAAGCAGCCAAAAGGAGCAGATCTTGGTTCACTTTCCATACATTTAGGTAGTTAGCAATGCTAAGATCTCCTCAAAGCTCAGAACAATTATCATTAATCACAAATCACATAAGGTATTTTACACACGGCACCTAAAGTCGACAACTTTATTCCGGACACAATGCGACAGCCTTAACTGCAGATTGCCACAACTGTGCTTGATAGAATTTGAGTGCCCTGTTCTAAAATAGGATTAAAAAAGACTGAGGTAACAGACTGATAGGAAAAAGAGATTTTAAGGACTCCCAGAGAAAGCTGAACCCAGGAAAGCAATGAAATTCTTTTGAAAGACAGAGACAAAAAGAGGAAATTACTTTCCTTCTGCCACTGAAAAAAAAAAAAAAAGTCTCTAATGTTCAAGACAAAGAAAATTGTCTTTGAGACAAGGGGAAAGGGATGTTCAAGAAGAGACTTAGTGGAAGCAGGTAAATCCAGAGGAGAGCTTCAGTACACCAGGACAAACCCATCTGAATATCGAGGGGTTTTTTGTTTTGATTTGTTTTTGTATGACATTCCCAAAAAAAGGAAGCCAGCAAAAACTCACAATTACAGAAGAGGTTTGTGCTTTGCGTTTCCAGCAGCAAACAACAGCCCAGGACTTTCCCGTTTGGAAAGGCTGGTGCTGGAGAATAAAGTTTTGCAAAGTTAAATGGTTAACGAGGACAAGCAGCGCATGACCAGGATCTGGGGGAAGAACTGGCAAGAACAGTGTTCAGAGCAGGAGGTCTCTTGAAGGCAATAGCAGATTTGTTTTGTCAAGCCAAGAAGGAGGAGATAGTTCAGCATAATGCCAGTCACGAACCATTAAGAGACAAACACCGCATCGAAGCTGAGGAAGGATCAGAACACTAAGTCTGTTTATTTGAAAGCAAATTTAGCATTAAAAAGTGTGTTGCTTTTGTGCAAAAGACATTATAGATGGGAGCACTGAACTGAGAAGAAAATACTCAGAGAATCTGCACCCACTAGAAACACTCTGTCTTCTCCTGCAAATATACTAAGTGCTTGGTCTCTAGCAAGTGACGCCTCCAATTCCTGTATGAGATGTTTCCTGGCAGACACCGCTATGAAAATAAACTCAGTGCTGGGTGACATCAACTACTGCATCCATGGGGGCAGCCCAGGAGCTCAGCAGGCCTGGCTCCATTTGAGGCAGGAACAAGCACGCAGGTAAGAAGCTCATTCTGCCACGAGGACACTGCGGGTGGGCATCAGCCACTGAGCACCGGCGGGGACACCAGGCCAGAGCCAGCCGCTGGGGACAGCGATTCCCAGCAAAGCGGCAGAGCTCCCAAGGGGAAGACAGCTGGGCAGAGAGCTCCTTTTACTGCCTCCCAAAACTACCATGAAGCCACAAGCGAAGCACGGAGCAGGGCTGCCACAGGAGGGTGAGGAAAGCCTGGCCAGCACCACCCTCTTGTGGACGCGGAGTGAGTATGAATTCGGTTCACTGCTAAAGGGAAGAGATGTTCAGACAGGTTTAAAACCACAGATCTCTTCCTGAAAGCACCATACAAGGGAACACGTGTAAAAATATCTGCTAAAAAGCATGTAACAAAATTGGAGAAGAGGCAAGCATGATTGAAATAAGCAGGGATGCAAACTCCTAAAGGATGGCCTCTGTTATGTCCATGGGCTCGGAACCAGTCGTGTCAGTCATTCTCTTTGCTTCCTCTCCCTAGTAGCTTCCAAGCAGCAGTTTGCTTGTCCTCAAGGACGTTTCGTGTGAATCCTCCCAAAATCCTATCAAGCACTCGCTCCAGAGCAGGCACTGCGGAAGTGGGAGCACAGACTACGTGTCGCCTCGCCTGGCACGTTACAAGCGACAGCACCAGAGCAGCCGCCCGAAGGAGAGGGACGCAGCCCTGTGCCACGTGCTCTAGGTGACTCTGCGGGTGCAGGGGGTTGGACTAGGTGACCTCTAGAGGTGCCTTCCAACCTTATGGATTCTGTGATTCTACGGAAAGCCCCACGTCCGTGGGGGCTGCGGCACAAGGAGCTCCCGACTGGGACCGGCCTCGAGAGAACATTGCTCCCTCCAGGCCCGGCAACCTGCTCCAGCCTCCGAATTGCCCCTAGATTTGTGCAAGTTCCAGCAGCCACGTAACAAACCAGAGCAGGCAACTGAAAACTAACTCAGAAAAAAGCAATTCCGATGAACCAGCTCCCCAGGCAAGCTGAATGCACGGCCCGACAGGCAGGCTGTTGGGAAAAAAAGGGAAAGAATCTGCTGTTTTCTGGCTGCGGTATCGCTTAAAGTGTCCATTGAGACAAACTTCACAAGTCTGAGAAAAGAAAAAAGAAAATCAGCACAGCACAACACGGACGAGGCTGCTCACTGCTGGGGAAGGAAACCTGGGGCTCTGGAGAGCCCAGCACCAGAAACGGCAGCGAGAGCTGCCCGGGCAGAGCAGCTGCCCGCGAGCAGCACGAGGGGCTGCTTGGGGCGCCGGGGGCCACGGGGCACCGCGG